CCCTGTATTCTCTCGTACCGGTTAGTGATGTCTGCTTTTTGTTGGGATTCCATGTATAATTAAGTCTTTTAATGCATACAGAGTGAAGTGCTTCTCCCGAAAGGAACCTCTCTCTTTTTTATCCCACACTTTCAAGCACCTCCATAAGCCCCTGTTGTTGTTCTGTTGATCTTTTCTTCAGAGGAAGGGAGTGAAGTGCTTTTTCCTAAAGGAACCTCTCTTTTTTATCCCACACTTTCGAGGACTTCAATCTGCCTCTGTTATAAGAGACTTTCAAGCACCTCCATAAACCCCTGTTGTTATTCTGTTGATCCTTTCTTCAGGGTATCACTAAATGTACGTCTGGACTACACAGAGTTTTACCCCACATCCAACACAGATTCATTAAGATGAACCAGAAGGATAAGGCAGGTGAGTCTTGTTCCTCCTCAACAACGACCTTGAACTTTAAGTCCCTGGACTAATTCCCACTCTGGGGTCAAAACAAAAGAATTCAGTTCTCTTGAGGATTGAAATCTTCTTTTGGTGTTAATATTTTTCATTACTTTGACCCCGAGGTAAGGATTTAGTGCAATAAAATAATACGTAAAGGACGAAGTCCGATTTTATTTGTCAAGGTAGTTGGTCTTGGGAAGTACACCACCCCCTTCGCGGGCTCTTTGAAATAATTGGTACTGGGTGTCTGTAATATAATTTTTCTACACAGAAATACTTTGTATAGAATTTAGGATTTCACTTCTAGATCTGAGGGTACAGGTTATATCCACCCCTCCCCTCTAAGTTAGGTCCGTAAGATGACAATTGTTTTGACATCATCCTTAAAAATAAATAACTTTGATCCGCAGAAAAACTGGTCAAGTTGTTACAGAAGGATTCCCGCCAAGGATGTCGTACTATGGTGTTTTGTAACTCAACCTCGAGCTGTGATTGGCTTGGACATCATCTTCACAAGTGTGGCACGAAGTTCATACGGTTACACGGCAATATACCACCACAGGTGAACGTCTGCTCTCTGTTGGTTCTTTATAGGCCAGTGGCTGCAATCTCTTGTCATCCAGTGCATTCTTTCCATATAAATCCTCAATTTTATATTTAATTCCATTTCTCCTATAGTCAACGTTATGAGCTAAAACTTCGCCTACTTAAATATCGAGGTGCTCTTTTGATTTCTGGGATTAATATTGACATAACTACTCGATTTAAGGGGGTAGGGTCACGTGACCTGTCACTTGTCCTCATGGCAGTTAACTTCTCGTGTTCTTGCTCTATTTTTTTCAGATTCGTTGTGAACGCTTTGAGGAATTCCAGAATCATGTCGCTGATATACTAATTTGCACAGACATCGCCTCCAGAGGACTGGATACTAGTGACGTAAGTTTCATCCCCGACCAATCGCGTAATGATAGAGCGGGATACTTAGTCCACCATTTGTGCTACCTGATTAATACATTAGGTTACATATTGTAACGGCTGCAGATTCCGAAGAAAATATTTTAGGGTCTTTATGTTTTAAGATTTCGTACTTTACTAGGTCATAATGTCGATATGACATAACCATTACAGCGCACTTATTTCGTTTGGATAAGCAGTATTTTTTCGCGCTTTGATTGCATGAACGAAAGTCCGTGCCGTGTCTTTTATACCCATTGTTTTTACTGTATTGTTTTCAGGTGACTCATGTAATCAACTTTGACTTCCCTAACTCAGTGGTAGACTACATCCATCGCGTTGGTCGTACCGGTCGCGTGACTAACGCTTCACATCAAGTCACGTGTCGGGCAACAAGCTTCGTGACGCACAATAGAGATGCCCGCATGGCACGGGCTATAGAGGTATGTGATCTATAATATCACGTGCGTCAGAAGTTTCAGTTTTCTGGTGGGGACCAAGTACACACTCAAATTAGGCTGCTGCATTGGATATGGTTTCTAGCTGGGAATGCGCCTTCTCTATATGCATTGACGAAACTTGCTGATGCATTAGATCTTAACTAATATAATTTTTTTCTTAGATGGCGGCCAAGAAGAGCGAGAGTCTATCCTTGAGTGAATCTAAAAATCGACCTGCTGATGGCACAAGGACTCAAGTGATGAGGAAAAAAAAGATGGCACTCTCCCATGGCACCTTCAACAACTTATACTGACGATGGCATGAACGCATGCAAAATACGGCTTTTTCCACAGCACACCGCTGTGTCTGCTGATAACAGGTCATGCATGCGCAAGTTAACAACTCTCATGTCCCTCCAACGGCACCTGTACACAGGCAGTTAGTCGATACCCATGAACGCAGAATACGGCTCTTGAACATTCTCACTTGTACAAGAACGGTTTCCTTTTAGAAGCAGAATCGAAACACATGTCAATAGAGGGAGACTGGGTTTATTTCGAGATTAACAAAGCCAACCATTTGATTGGTGTAAACTAATAAATGGAAAATATCAAAGCACTACTTATATATATCCTTAATATTTGTTCGTAACGACGCATTTTCTCAATGAATTCCAACATTTTCAAATATCTCTTTTTTCAACTGAAATGTAATTTGTTTCTTCTACAAATATTTGTTCGTTCTTGGGACACACAGGAATCCCAGCAAAGATAATCTGCCTGGTAATGGACAGGTATTCCAACTGATATATTTCGGAAGCAAGTAGGTTTTCCGACAGAAATATTCCATAAGCACGTGGGTATCCCAATAGACCTTTCTGGTAACATACTCGTATTTCGATATTCCAATCCCTTGATTTGAACGCACATGTATCCCAGGAAAGCCATTCTGGAAACACACAGGTAACCCAACAGAAACAATCTAACGTAGCTATCCCGATGGAACTTTCTGGAAAATATCGTTATCCAAAATCCAAACCTCTTGCTCTCGTACCTTAATACCTGTAGTACCTCGTACCTGCGATTATCAAGGGTAATTTTCGTATAAAATGCTCTCTTCTTCCTTGTGGCATCGACTTGAAAGATGTAGAGAAACTCCACGAGGATGACGGCAACGAACCTGACAAAGTTCGCATACGACGTCATCGGTGAATGGCTCTGAGGATCTAAAACAACGAAAAAATGATAAACAAAAAAATATATACACCTATTTCAAAAAACGTTTTCAGGACCAAAGGAGATCAAGCATTCCGAGTTGGATGGAAACGTGGGTCTAGTTTACATTGCAGTGTATTGTGGGGCTGATTCAGGGGACATTTACAAGATAGCGTCTATTTCGTTCCTAAAATGCACTGTAATACCAACACAACCTAGTTTTTTCCCTCAATCTTGAAATGGCTAATAGAGCGTTTATCTCACGTGAGAAGTCAGCCATATTAGTGCACCAAACAATASAAACTGTCTGCACAGTTTTTGCATAAAAATAGTGTTTAATCCCCCAGGAAAAAAATGTATTGTTCTGGTACACCAATATGACCGCTATGACATCACGTGAAAACGCTCTATAGGAGGATATAAAAATCGTTTATTTTATATTTTTGTTTAAACATTTTTAAATGGTACCTTCCCGCCAACTCGTGTAGTTTTTGGTTCATTTTTCGTCTTTCGAGGACTTTAGCCGGTGTATCGCTGTCCAGGAACTGTCCTGTGATAGCGATACCATTATGTAACTGGTAAAGGTCTGGGGTATCGTCTTTATCGTCTGTACTGGGGACCAGGATATCTTTTGGATCAATCTGGAAGAAAGGATTTGAAAAAAACAAATACTAAGCATTGGTAATTAGTTAGCTGGGGGTTGGACTCCCTGTGGTAAAAAGGATGGTGGTCAAGTTTTGCACTCTCTTATCACCTCTGGTGTCTCTGTCTGAATCCTGGACCAGGCGTGACATGTGAGTAGAGTTTTTTTAGGTTTCTCCCTTGATTCGAGGGTTCGATCTGTGAGTTAGCCGAGCCCTGACTTTGATCATCCCAGAGGTTGTTTCAGGGTTCGATCTGTGAGTTAGCCGTGCCCTGATTTAGATCATCCCAGAGGTCGTTTCAGGGATCAATCTGCGAGTTAGTCGCGCCCTGATTTTGATCAGCCCAGAGGTTGTGTCAGGGTTCAATCTGTGAGTTAGCCATGCCCTGACTTAGATCAGCCCAGAGGTCGTTTCAGGGTTCAATCTGTGAGTTAGCCATGCCCTGACTTANCCCAGAGGTCGTTTCAGGGTTCAATCTGTGAGTTAGCCATGCCCTGACTTAGATCAGCCCAGAGGTCGTTTCAGGGTTCAATCTGTGAGTTAGCCTTGCCCTGATTTAGATCAGCCCAGAGGTCGTTTCAGGGTTCAATCTGTGAGTTATCCGTGCCCTGACTTTGTTCATTCCAGAGGTTGTTTCAAGGTTCGATCTGCGAGTAAGCCATTAGGGGAAAAAACGGTTTCTAGGAAAGGGGAAGCGGGGGTTTAATCTTTCGATTGGAATAAGATAAACTTGGTAAGAGATAGAAGAACAAATGCTAATATTGCAAGGATTCCATTCCCGCGGTTACCTGGTTCCATCGAAGTTGCCTTTTGAATGACAGTGGTTTTCTGTCTTCTCGTTTCTTGAGAACTAAACTGGAGATAAAAAAGAAAGTATCCTTACGACTGTATACAATAAAAACATCAACAATCTAGGAAGATATCTATATAGCGTGTGTAAATCACTCTAGAGTAATGGAATTGTTTTACTTAACTCGTGAAATAGTCAGTAATTTATTTTACTTACGAGATAATATTTTTTCGACAAGCCTGTTGAATTCTCCCGATGGCTCCTGATCCCCATTCAGCTGCCACGCCCTCGTTGCTGAACGCCAGGTTGATACCAGTGCGAAGGGAATTGATCTGGCAAAGAAAAGGAAATGATTTAATAGGTGGATGGTTGGGGTGGGTGCGAGAAGGTTGATGGGTTGGTGGGTGGGTGGATGAATGGGTGGATGGCCAGTTGGCGGATAATGGGTGGGCGGATGAATGGGTGAGTGGTTGAATGAATGGGTGGAAGGTGGGCAAATGAATGGGAGGATGTTTGGTGGATGGATTAGTGGATGGATTGGAGGGTAGGTGAGTGAATGTTTGTATGTTTTGATGAATGGATGGATGGAATGAATGTATAAATGGGTCAATGGGTATGTATGTTTGGATAGTATTGCGTGGATAGGTTGATGGCTGTAAAGGGATTAGATGGAATAAATAGATATACGACAAAAACAAACTCAATACTAACTCACCATAATCAAGTCTTCTTGGTTGATCTCAACATCGAAAGTTAGTTCTATATCATGGTCAGGCAGAAGGGGCTCGTTAGTCTGCGCGTCATACCCCAGACCGACCAGTGCTCCTGTGTACTGATGCTTCTGTGGGTCAGTTCTAAAATACATCCATGACAAAACAAATCATCAGTATTGTGTATAACAGTTAAGCAGCAATGAATCGCACTGATCTGCCATGATGCATGGCCGTGTGTAGGCCCTGCAGCAAAGAGGGGTGCAACCTGCAACAGCAAACTGACCAGAAGGCCTCGGTAATAACTTCTCAAAATTATATTTAGCTACATTCAAAGCAACAAGAACTATGCAATATCAGTAGTAATCAAGGAACACAGCGGTAATTTGGAATTCGAAACTGGTCTATTGCAAGACCTGAGCAATAGCAACACAAATGTAAGCTCACCTCATTTCAGCGACTGGTGCAAATGTTAAGGCAACTATTGGAAGTAGTCCATGGATGTTCGGCATCAAAGTTGTATCCCTAATGACAAACAAAATCAATAGGTCACTGAGTATTATTTTTATTGGTTTTGATACAGTACAACATAGAGACAAAGAATGACAGAGGAGAGACCTACTCAGCATGTTTACCTTGCAATCACAGAGTTCCCAGAGGCATTGATGCCTATGTTAGCAGCAACAAGAAGCCGTTGATGATTGTCTTGGGGCTGATCATTAAGTGCAACGCTGTTTACCGAGGCAATATCTATGTTTGCTGTCCTGTGGATAACAAAGAATATATCATGTCATCAGCATCATTTATAGGTTGCTATCAATAGACGTCACTTCCGGTAATAGCTCTTTTTTGATGGCTTGTAGAATCTTGGAGGTCGTTTTGATCTCTTGTTTACTGGTTTCATGTCGTAGAAATAGTCAAATACAATAGTTTGAGGACTTATTTTGATATGTTTTGACTTAGAATCCGCTAGTTGCCCCTCAGTCAACCGCTTGTTTGCCCCCCAGTCAACTCCAAAAAGTCACGTGATTGATAGTAAGCAATTTGGTGTGAAATGTGATCGTACGGGTGCGGTGTAGTCTTGAAAAAGACTGTTGTTGGTGGTGACTCAACTGAAGTTTCGACAACCTGAGCGGAAATCATCTTCAGAGTCCAGCGTATTATTAATGTCTTATTAGTACCATTTATCATGGTTACCACGCGTTTGTTCCGCCTTTGCCTGGTAACTGTCCTGCGAGAATGCAGACCCTCGTCTCTCTGTTTATCACATTACCTTACATTACCTCACATTACCATTACATTACCTTAGTCGTCCTATACTCGTGATACTAAAGAAAGTCATCTCAAGCGGACTATACGGGCCACGTAAAGATACCTTGGAATCAAAATAAAACCGTACTCGTCAATAAAGAGTAATCATAATCTATGATTGACTCGGTGTATACTAACCTTGGTAAGGTATTGCCCTGACGTGTCATTAAATGCCGGGCTATTCTCGTTCAGCCAGTCCATATTGTCGTTTAATGCACGGACATCACCTCGTAGTGTTTCTGCTTGTTGGTGAGCCATCTAAAGGTGATATTTGGAAAACGTTTTGTCTCATTTTATATTTCTGATATTACGATATGAATATGTATGGCACACTGGATGATAAGGCGAATGAGATATGCGGATTTTCAGGGCTTTAATTTTAAGAATTCGCTTGGTTATAGTTGGCAGAGTTTGTCTGATACAGATGATGAATGATGACAAATGATGAATGATGACAAATGATGAATGACATCAATTTAATGTACTACCTTTGAGGAGTACGGCTTCTCCATGAACTGCGCATGACCCTCGTATGTTACAGATGATGAATGATGACAAATGATGAATGATGACAAGTGATGAATGACTTCAATTTAATGTACTACCTTTGAGGAGTACGGCTCCTCCATGAACTGCGCATGACCCTCGCTGATCAGCACCTGATTGATGTGAATATCCTCTTCTGTCATCGTGTCGTACAAATCAGCACGTAAGATCCCGTGCACCAGAGAATAAATCTAAAAGGATATCAACAACATTTAAGTACCAACATAAAATCTTCTTAGATATTTGAAATGACTGTAGTATTTGGCACCGATGAACACTGCTATGGCGCTGTCTGTTATCTCTGTGCATCTCAAGCCTGGGGTCGTTCGATCGTTATTAAACAAAGAAATGATACTCTAGGGAATGACACGTGGTCTGATATGGAAAAACATTACGTCCAAGCGAAAGAGGTATATTGAACGCAGACTTGTTACCTTGGCAACCAGCATTTTTCCATTTGTCAGTTGCATGAATCTGGCATATGCTTGTTTAGACCACATTCCAGATGGACAGTTAGAAGAGTACGATGGCTGGACTTCGCACAGTTCACATTCTATGGCCTAAGAAGACAAGGAAGGTTATGATACAGCCATTCTCAATCACACGCGCCCTCTAGCGATTGTTTCTGTGAGGACGAAGAAGATTTGGTGGACGTCAATCACAAGGCGTTTCCATGACATTGTCGGAAAAACAATGCTATAAGGGCACGTGCCTATGGAATTTAATGGAAACGCCTTGATTGACGTCCACCAAAAGCTTCTTCATCGCGACAGAAACAAGCGCTAGAGGGCGCGTGTGATTAAGAATGGCTGTGACTAGCGGTAATTGGCAATAATGAATTTCATATACTCCTAAAATAGAGGTATTATGATAATAATGATGATGATGTACAAGTATCGAAGAAATAGAAAACACGCCCGCGTCCTGTGTGCAGCCATAAAGCACGAGGAGATTGCCCAAGTGCTTTATAGCTCAACACGGCACAGCAAGCAAGTTTTTTTATTTCTTTTATAATGCAAAGGGCGCGTGCGTGCTGTGTGCCCTCATAAAGCACGCTCTCCCAACCAATCAGAATGCGAGATTTATAACAGTTATTTCATAGTAACCAATAGTACGTTCAGCATTTGCATTACAGTAAGGCATTTGATGATGATGATACTAGTAGTTGTTGATGACGATGATGCTGATGCTGATGATATCATTATTAATAACGACAGAAACTCGCGAAAGAAGAAAAGTTACACAAACCTGGAATGGCAGCTTGAGGAACTCGGGGTGAATTTTTCTCACTTCATTAAATTCAACTTCTTCAACGTTACCATAATCAAGGAAAAAAACCTGGATCAACAGAGAAAAAGAAACCAGGAAGTTAAGAGTTGTCAGACTCTGCATCACTTGTGAGTTAGCCTTGCTCTGACTTTGAAAAGCCCAGAGGTTGTATCAGGGTTGTGAGTTAGTCGTGCTCTGACTTTGATCCACCGAGAGGTTGTTTCAGGGTTTGATCTGTGAGTTAGCCGTGCCCTGACTTAGATCAGCCCAGAGGTTGTTTCAGGGTTTGATCTGTGAGTTAGCCGCGCACTGACTCTGACCCGCCCAGAGGTTGTTTCAGGGTTTGATTTGTGATTTAGCCAAGCACTGGCTCTGATCCGCCCAGAGGTTGTATCAGGGTTTGATTTGTGAGTTAGCCGTGCCCTGGCTCTGATCAGCCCAGAGGTTGTATCAGGGTTCGATCTGTGGCTTTGATCAGCCTAGAGATCAGATGTATGTGCCGCTGAATCATGCCTTTCTTACCCTGACAAATGATTTTCTTGGTCTGCTTGAATCGTCAAAGATACTAAGCACTTTTGCTCTATAGAGGGTGCCTTCAAAAGGAGCCAGAACGAAACTCTCTACTTGACAGGATCGATGATCAACAGGCTGACAGATAAAACATAACAATTCCAGTCATGACAATACTGGAACCATTCAAAATCCCCGAAATACCAATTAGCAAGGACTCGTCCCATGAAATGACTTTGTCCAAGGTCGAGGAAAAATCTGGATCAAGTTGGCATTGTAGTGTATTGTGGTCTGTTTTGGGGGACGAAATAGATGCCATCTTGAAAATATCTCCCCTAAAACAGAGGTTTTGTCTCAACCACGGAATGGCTAATGGCTTCGTCCACGACAAAACAAAACTATGAACACTTAGAAGGTTTTCTATATTAGCCAATCAGAACCTACAAAGAATTTTGAATCAAATAGCTTCCACTAGCTTCCACACTCAAATGGCTTCCACTATGAAATAGTTTTCGCTAGCTTCCACACTTAAATGGCATCCACTACGTACCAACTAAAAACCAACAATACTCGAAACTGCACGATGTTAAAGTTCCACAAATCTAGAGAAAATCACCCCACTAGGCCGGTCATTTTGTAAAGAGAAGTTTCTAACCAGAAGTTTTATCTTACCTCGTGATAGTTAAACGTTTGTATTCGATATTCTAAGGCTGCAAATGCTTGTGATGAACTTTGCTCTGCATTCACCACCCAAAAATGACCAACATCGATAGGCTACGACAAAGCACAACACATAAGTACAAGAACAATAACATGATTTTTTTTCTAAAACTGAAGTAAAGAAAAATCTTCAAGAAACTAAAAACGCAAATTTCTTCAGTGGAAACTTTGCATGGATCTGTGCTTTCCAGCCAAAAATTCAGTCATACGCCTATACATGCAAATTTGGGACCTGCAAAATCGGGGTTGATTTTTTGATAAAAAATTGACCGGTACTGTGTGAATACCTTGTCCGGATAGACACTAGAGAGAAACGTTTGCGCATGCGTGCATTTCAGCACGTTTTCTAAGAATATTGAAGAGTTTGAGTGAGAAAACGAATCATTGTTTTCTCAAAGTATACAAAAAGGTTCGAGAGCATACTTTTGTCAGACCAAGATAGTGTATTGACAAACACAATATGACAGAATTAGCCTTAAGTTTCAAGCATGGACACTAAGTTTTGGCATTTTGTGAAGTCCAAATTATCAGGCTTGTTTGAAAGTCAAGGAGACGGGTCCGTGTAAATGGTATGTACTGGTCAATTTTTTCACCGGTTAAAAATATGTCCAGTACCATGTAAACGCATCCTTAAAGACAATTCATTTATGTGTAGGTTTTATCATGGGGATGAAGGATGTTTACCGATGTTACGACGACTTCCATGTAACCTTTACACGGGATTTCAACCTGGGAACACAACAAAGTTACGAATAGGTTAGAAAGATTTAACCAGTTTTCTGATACTAAAACACTACAACGAACATTGACAAACAACGAAAACATTCAATAAATATATTGAAAATACAATAATAACGAGTATCACCTGTCTGGGTTGGTTAGTTGTATCGAAGGAAACTCGTTGACATCCAGGGGATAGTGAGGCAGCCATTCTGAAAAATACAATATACATTCATCAACATTATCATCATCATCAACATTATTTTCGTCTTTAAATCATTATCAATAGTATCATTTATCATATCTATCACTATCATCATCATTATCGTTCTCACCATTCTCATTCTCATCATCACCATTCTCCATCTCCATCACCACTATCATCATCATCATCCTCACCTTAACATCATCATCATTTATTATCATCACCCCCGCATCATCACCATTCTCTATCTTCATCTCCATTTCCATCATCATCATCATCCTCACCTTAACATCATCTCCATTATCATCACTCCATGCATCATCACCATCACCACCATCATCATCACTACCATCATCATCATCCATCATCATCATCATCACCATCATCATCACCATCATCATCACCACCATCATCACCACCACCATCATCACCACCACCATCACCATAAGATTAACCTAATCTTTACCTATTTGTTCGTAGTCGATTTCCTTCTTCTCTTGAGTTGCTTAACTCCCTTTCGATTCTCCTATTATTTCCTTCTGCGATATAAAGGTTCAGCGGTATTCTCAATCCCCTAAGAAGAAGAATGACATTAAATCCAAGTCAACACCACAGGTTGAGGGAGTAGGGAGGATGGAATAAGGATGGGGGAGGGTTAGAGAGTGAGAAGAATCACGACTATAGTTGATCGTGCTTCTTACCTCATCTTGACAGCAAGGTAGGAGGAGGGAGATGGAATAAAGATGGGGGAGGGTGAGAGAATGAGAAGAATC